TTCCAGCCTTATCCACCATTCACATTCCTGAGATGGACAATTGGCAGGCTGACTACCTATTCCCTGGACCCTAGGGATTGGTCCCCACATCTGGAAATATTTGAGGAGTTGTGTCACAGGTAGGGGATGCCATATTTGGACCTCCTGCTCTCCAAATTCAGCAACAAACGCCTTCCTTGTATATTCCACAGGATCAAGACAGAGGACATTCCAGTGTTTCTTATAAGCTCCAAATTGGCCAAGGAGAATGTGGTATTTTGACCTGATTAAACCTCTGGCAGACATTTAGTGTGCTCTGCCATATTGACCAGATTTTCTATCCTAAAAACAGTTTACCATCCTGCTTCACTGGTTGGCTTTAACAGCATGGCTGATGAAGCCCATGTCTTAAGAGACAGGGGACTGTCTGGTTCTGTAATACCCACCCTGTTAAAAGTTAGGAAGTATGCCTCCTGAAAGTTCTGCCATCACACTTGGAATGCTTACTTCTCTTGGTTTGAGAAAAGACAATTTAATACCAAGAATCACTCTGTGGGAGAAATTCTGATATTTTTGCAGTCAGATCTGGATCAGCATTTGTCCTTTAGTTACCATCAAATCCAGCAAATCTTGGCCCTTGCCATGATGCCTTATACATGTTATCTCCTAGATTGTAAGCTCGAAAGAGCAGGGCCCTTGAACCCCGCGTGTTTTGTTTTGTTACTGTATTGTCTCATGTACTGTCCCCCACTATAATGTACAGCGCTGAGCAAACCTTTTAGCACTATATAAATATTATATAATAATAATAATTTGTGTAAGGTCAGTTGGATTAGACAAGGTTCAGTGCTCATAGTTTGGCTATGACTACCATTACTTTTTACTCAAAATGTAATCCTGTTGTTTTGCTGTTATGATAGAATATGTATGCAGTTTATTAACTAAACAAAGGTGGGGCCTTGTTCATTCCAGCATGATTGGTTTCAGAGTTGTTACTGAATATAGGTCATTTATAAAAGTCACTGAGAAAATGGCTATCCACAAATTCTCTAAAGATGTACTGCGGTAAAAAAGCTAAAATGATCCTGGCACCGATCTAAAATCTCATATTAAGCTGTTACCTGGAAAGAAGAGACTGAGAGTAAACAAATACCTCCAGAAGTGTCTTCTTCCAGGTCTTCCACAGCTCTTACTAGTTCCACCTGCTAAGCTACATATCCCTATGTAATGATGTAGAGGTCCACAGGAGGAGCCAGTTAGAGCTGAGGAAGGCCCAGGACATGGACACTCCTGGAAGTGTTGGTTTCCCAGCAGATCTTAGTGGATGTTATCTCAGAACGGAGTGGCATTTTTTGTGCTGTAGGCAGCAAGAGTGGCTAAGTATTCATACTCTTCTTTTACAGGTGTACCTTTCCTTCCCTTGTATAGTGACAGGGTCACTTTAAAATACAGTATTTTCTGGCGTATAAGACTACTTTTTATACTTAAAAATATACCCCAAAAATTGGGGGTCGTCTTATACGTGGGGTATAAAATGTGAACCTTGTGTTTGTTTGGGTCAAGCTGGCTGGATGTGTGGTAATACTGTACATACAGTATACCGTGCTGAGCCAAGCTGGCTCAAAACAAATGTCCCTATGACAGATTAATCTGTCAGCCTGCTGGATGTGCGGTATATACAGTATACTGTGCTGAGCCAAGCGGTTTCAAAGCGTACCGGTACGTCCCTACTGTAATCAGCCCGCTGGATGCGTGTATGTACGGTAGCTGTGGCTACATACAGTATACATTGGGCCAATCATGGCGAGTGATGTATGCTACTAATGAATACAAAGCCTGCTCGGATTGGCTAAGTCAGAGAGGTGAGCTGCCACTCAGCCAATCCGAGTCGGCTTTGTATTCATGTCAAGGTCCTACCTTTTCCCTGAGGTTTTGTTACTCCATGTGCTGGCGTCCATCTTGGATTCTGCTGTGCATGGTGGGAATCCTTTTATGCCTTCAGGTCTCTGAGGTCCATCCCCCAGAGGGGTGTGGCTGATGACATATAAGCCTGTGGCCCGCACATGCTCTTTGCACTTGTGTCTTTGTCTTCCTACAGCTCTGTGTATACGCCCGTGACTCTTCTGGTATCTGACTCGGCTTGTGATTAAGACCATTCTCTGTGTTTTCCTTCGATCTGACCTTCCGTTGCTGAACCCGGCCCGTGACCTGTGATTCTCTGTCTACTGTTCTGTACCGTTTTGTCCCGTTGTTGTCGACCCAGCTTGCCTGACTACGCTATTGTCATTCTCACCAGCTACACGCCATTGGCGGCGGCCATTACCGCAGCCGGGGTGTCTCGGGGGCTGCGACCTGGTTCCTGGCTGCGTCAAGTCCATCCCCACCATCAGGGCCCTGGTGAAGGGCAGCCTGGGACTTAGACTCCGCGCCCTGAGGGACTTCGGTCTGTTGGTGGTGGTTGTCGTCAGCCAGTGCGTTACCCTGCCACTAGGCCTACCTGTCCGTTCCACAGCCCCGCCCTGACATTTCATTAGTAGAATACATCGCTCGCCGTGATTGGCCCAGCGTATACTGTATGTAGCCTCAGCTACTGTACATACACACATCCAGCGGCCTGATTACCGTAGGGACGTACCGGTACGTTTTGAAACAGCTTGGCTCAGTATACTGTATATACCACAGTGGTGTATATACTCAGTATACTGTATATACCTCACATCCAGCGGGCTGACAGATTAATCTGTCATAGGAACATTTTGTTTTGAGCCAGCTTGGCTCAGCGAGGTATACTGTATGTACGTTACTGCACATCCAGTGGGCTGTATATATACTGTATACTGTATGTAGCCGAAGCTACCGTATTACCTCACATCCAGCGGTAACCATCTGATTTGGAATTTGATCCATATGATGACTGTCTTACAAATGTATCACAAGATGTCATTCATGAACTTATGATGTCAGAGGATGAACATAAGGGTTTTGAAGGATTTTAGGTACCCATAAGTCATAACCATTTCAATTAAAAAATCTGATGTTTTTAAATGGTGCTGCCTTGGAAGGGGGGGGGTAGTCTTATATGGTGAGTATAGCACAAAACCTATGTTTTAACTGGAAAATTAGGGGGTCGTCTTATACACCCAGTCGCCTTATACGCCGGAAAATACGGGTAATACTTTTTTCTACTATATTCTCACTATGCGTAATTCATCCTGGCACCATGACAGAAATGTAAACTGAGCTGCAAATGTACATTCTGCAGAGGATAG